GGCGGAAAATCACACGTCAGATCGATGTATGGGTAGATGTGTTTTCCCTAACCTATACGGTAGCTTTGAACAGATTTAAATGCATCCAGAAATGGGCGGCTAATGAGTGCTATTAACAACAGATATCTCAATACAGTACCTTGTGAAAGGATTCGTCCCACCATCTGCATTAATCGCTAAGAAGGGCGTTATAAAATTTCACACGTTTTGAGCCTCAGAACAGAGGAAAGCGGTGATGGATGGTAGAAATTTCTAGACTTGTGAGAGCGAAACCTGCAGAGCGTCGCCACCGCGCACCACTCAAACATATGAGAATTTCTAATGAACCCAATGGTATCCAATTTTATTTTCGGATCCAGCAAGGAATTTTCCAGCGCGTATAGGGTGGCACAATCGCTTGAAAACGCTTGTCTCGTTTTAAATCTTAACAAACAATAGTGGGCATTTTAGGCAATTTATGACTTCATTGCATTCAGTATACGCTGTCTAGAACTAGTTGGAACTGATTCCAACGCTTTCTATGAATAAATGAATTATTATGAAAGGCTGCAAAAAATTACAGCAAGCACCGTTTCATATCAAAAACGGATACGCGTAGAAAATCAAAAGAAAACTTGAAGAATTACGCAAAAATACCCCATATTTCGAAAAATGAACATGTTCAGCTCCTACGAATGCTCATAATAGCAAAAGCTGCAGCAGTAGAATTGGAAAATAATTTGTCTTCAAACACAAAGATGCAATACGTGAAAAACGATGAATATGCGAAACAGCGTAATACGTTATGCAAGACTCAGGCAAAAGCTAAATGAAAAAGCGCGTGAATTATTTGCTGAAATGAATGCGGATCAGAGTCCTTGACGGCGCACTACCGTTCCAGCAAACATCCAAAAACAGCTTGAATGACAGCAATTCCAGCAAAACATCTTCCACACGACCATCCTCTGGATTTGCGTTGCCGACTTCACAATCTTTGGCTAACGAAGGCAACAAACAAACGCTGTCACAATGATCTTCCAACTCATCAGAGTAGGAATCTCGTCGTACACAATTCAATTAAATTTCACAAATAAGAACGAAAAAAGTGTACAGACAGATTAGCAGATGGCTCTAAGTAGCGACAATGTGCAAGCGGCAACTAACACATAGCTTCTTCATCTGAACCAACAGCACGTAACTGAGCCATCAGAAGCCTTCACGGAGGATTTGAGAATCAACTCTGATAAAGGATCAAGGATTTTTGAGGGGAGCAGAAGGAACCGGAAGAAAACAAAAGTTTGCAACCTCCGGAATGTGGATCTTCCCTTGACTTTCATAAGAGGTCATTCTGGCACCATTCTTGCCATGAGAGTAATGGCGGCGCGCGGAACTCTATTGCCATGCTAGCAGCCAGGCGTGTCCTATTTTAGAGGCAGAGTTGACAGCAGGCATGTGGAAAACACAGTGTGTGTTTCCTGTTTTCTCCTAGTGAGTGATGCTCAAACCTAAAAAAAAAGGCGAGTGACTCCAACCACGCTCGAACCCGGGACCTCTCAGTTCTGAGTTCGACGCTCTACAGACTCAGCAATCCTGATCAATAATCTGATGAATTGTAAAGGAAGACCAAACAGATCAGTCCCGCTAGCTCTGAATAGGTTTCCGCAATATTGGCAGAATGTATGGGAAACCGAGACAAGTCTGTTATCTGTCTTCTCCTGATATTTAAGTCTCCACGAGATTTGAATATTTTGAAACACGGCTCAAGAAAAAAGTCATTTAGACAGGTAGTGTATAACTCGGTCACACCAGGTTCATGTCGTTATGGCAGCAGCCCTTACTTCTATATGCTTGCGAGGCCACTTAAACAGACCGCACTTCATGACCGACACCACAACGATGTGAAATCGATTTATGGAGTTACTGCACATTGGCACACTCCTGATCGCCGAATCCATCATTTTTAGTGTGGGATACACAAAGCATTCAGTAGTTTAATGAGCGACAACTGACTGGTCAACTGAATCTTCGTGGAGGGATAACATCGTAACTCAATGACACTTCCAACAATTCGAAAAAGCTAAAAGTCAGTATTACCTGCTTTACAATTAAATCCTAAGGATTCATGGTTAAACACTGTCATAGAAGCAGCTGATCAAAACAGATCTGGCGTCATCTGAGTCACGGCCAACAAATACTTGAGATGATGAGTTTAAAACATGAAATTAACCTGAAGCTGCAGTTTGTGCTATCCCAGTACAATTACCTCTAACTGCAAACTTGCAAAAAATTGTTCTTGAGCCTCATATGTGTATATCTCAAAAATAAATGATTAAATATGGCTTCGATCCAATTTTTAGGCTCTTCACGTGCCTTAGGCAAATATAATTCATGAGGTGTTTCATTGGCAGTTTTAGAAGCAAACTTCACGGCTGCCGCCTCGTATCGTATGCTGAAAATAGCCGCATCCACATCATGAATGTCACGTCTGAAAAAGCCGAGAAGCGGCAATGGACGAGGAGGAGCCTAATGAGACGACAGTAACTCCAACTGACTACGTGCTAGCAGACACGTAGCTGATAATAACATATGTTTATCATTTAAGAAAACATTTTTGCACGGTGTCAGGCCACAGATTACTTCGTACCACAGTCAATCGATGTTGCTAATGGAGATCGAGGTAGCAAGGCTCAAAAATCATCAGCCAATGGACGAATATTCGATCCAGAAGCCTTCGCAGACATTCTTCCTCAGCTGAACCTCGTAATAGACATC